AGCTGCTGGCTGGCGGCGCTGGCTGCGCAGGCGTCCCTGCACCGGGGAGCCCTTCCCGGGAGGCGATGCCACACGGGGAGAGGCTTGCCGGGTCTCTCCTGGCAGCTGTTTCAGCTCTGGGCTGTGTTTGCGCTGGGTTTCTCCAGCTCTGCTCACCCGGGGCAGGCGGCTGGCTCTCTTTGCTGGGGTCCGGTGGCTGTGGAGCTCGTGGGGTTTAGCTGCCAGCTGGGAGGTGGGAGTACAGGGTGAGATGTGGGAATGGTGCTGCTGTTGGAGCTGAGCAGCAGCTTGCCAGGCACGGTGCTCGGTGTTCTCCCAGTCCCCAAACTCTGTCGCTCAGCCCCACAGCAAAGCCGGCTCAGTGCCCTGTGCCTTGCAGCCCTCGATTTGGGAGCAAAGTGGGGCAGGGGGCTTCACCGGCTCATCCCCCACCATGGTGCTGGGCAGTGATGGGAGGAAGGTTTATGAACCCCTTATCGCACAAGGCTTGTTTTAGATCGCAGCAGCCCTGTGCTCCCTGTGTTGTGGAGGCACGTTGAGGACCCCTGTGTGTGGACCCTGCCCACCACAGACAGAGGGGGCAGAGCCCCCCACTACGAGGATACTGCTGCCCACGGCAGGGGACAAGCCTGCGCCTCCTGGGTGGATCCGCTTGTGCCCGATGGCAGCGGGAGGCAGGGAGCACCGGTGCTCAGTATGTGCTGCACAGAGGTTGAGCTCCGCTTATGGTTTCTTCTCCCCGAGGGTCTGAGACACCACTGGCACCCTTTGAAGCACTGACAGGGGTTGTAGCGGGTGCTTTGCAGGTGGGGAAGTCTGAAGCCTTGGGAACGGGGTGCCTGGGGGAGTCAGGGAGCTCCAGAGCCTCCCCGGTGCCGCGAGCTGTGGCCCAAGACACGCGTGGTGTCCTGCAGTCACCCTCCGGGTGCTGAGCCCTGTGCACGGATGCCGCTGGAGCGGTGCGTGGACCCTCGGAGCAGCGCCGACCCCAGGCTGTCCCATCAGCTGGACGTTGAACGTGGGTCCATGTGCTCAGCCCTCCACCCTTTCTCTCTTTGAACAGGTAAAAAAACCGGAGCCCCCGAAAATCGCAACAAAGGTAACCAGCCTCTCCATCCTTTGAACCAGCACCACACTAACTACCGAGCATTCCTCCTTCCTTCCTTCCTTCCTTCTTCTCATCAGTCTGTGCTCTTTGCTGCTCCGGCGGGACTCTCGCCTCGTTGTCCTGGGAGAGGGTGCAATGGTCCCACGGCCAGCAGCCCCGGCACGGCATCGCGGTGCCCTCTGGCACCCCACCACGGGGCTGCGCATAGCTGGGATGGGGGTGGCCAGCTTCCCCGGTGGCCACCTTGCCCCTGTGTGGGGCAAGCCTTTGTGCAGGGAGGACAGGACTCTTCCAGCAGCCCAGATCACTGGCAGAGCATCCCTTTCTCGGGGCAAATCTCATCCGTGTTGACGTGAGCTGCAGCTGTGAGCTGGTGGCTCTGAAGCCCTTGTGCCCCCCAGAAGCCATCCCTCTGTGGGGTTTGTGTTTGGGCACGGCTGGGGGAGAGACATGGGTCCCCTCACACCATTCCCAGGATGAAATGTCCCACGGGGCCTGGCCAACACGACGGTTGCACCCTCTCCTCCCATGGCCTCGACTCCGTGAGCGTCTCCTCGCCAGTGTTTCTCACACTGTTCTTTGCAGGCTGTGGAGGAAGCCCATTTCTGCACCTCTCTCTCCACCTCTCTCTCTCTCTTTCTCTCTCCTCTCAGCAGTTTGAGTTTCCCTCCTTCCCGTCAGACTGTGTCCGGGTGCTTGTTTTGTCCGTGTCGGGTCTGTCGTAACCGTGGAGGTGTCCGATGTGGAGCTGCCGTGAGCTCCAGGGTGACTCGAGCCATCGACTGGCGGCAGCCGGGATGGGACAGGTCCTGGGGCGGCTGCAGGCAGCTATGGGGCCACTGCTGCTCCTCCAGCCCTGACAGCTGAGGCGGAGCCTCTTCAGGGAGGGTTCTTGCCCTCTTCCCTTCCCATTCTTCTCCAAAACTTCCACTGCACTGGGTATCCCCGGTGCAGACCTTCAGCTGGACTAGACCAATTATAGCAGCTGAAAGCCTGGCTGTCTTGGGTCCTAAAAACGTGATGGATGGCTCAGGGCTGGGATTCAAGGAGCTGGCTCACTCCTCTTCAAACTCCATCTGAATTTCTAACCATCCCCCTCCATCTCACCC